TCATTACGTCCTGTTTGTATCCAGGCACATAACCGATCTACTTCATTCTTTTTATTTGCTATATTATATTCCACACTTTGTTAATTCCAGAGCTTATTTAGCCACCCACCATTGATCGATGTTTAGAATGTTTCCAGTTTGTTCAGTACTACAAACAGTGCTTCCATAGACATTTCTGTGTGTGCCTTCTTGACACATGAGCTAGGTTTTCTTAAGGGGATAAAGAGAGAAATGGACTGGCGAGGTATGTGATTTCAAAGTAGCTTCATCATTTTGTATCAGCAACATACGGAAGTCCCTAGTTTCTCCAAAGCCCCTCATCACTTGATATCAGATCAGAACTTTTTTTTCCAATATGATGGATAAGAAATATCTTAATTGCTAGTATGTTCGGGCATCTTTTACATCTTTTAGTATGCATGTTAGCCATTCTGCATTTCTTTTTTTTTTTTTTTTAAAGATTTTATTTATTTGAGAGAGAGAATGAGAGAGAGAGCGAGAGCATGAGAGCGGGGAGGGTCAGAGGGAGAAGCAGACTCCCTGCTGAGCAGGGAGCCTGATGCGGGACTCGATCCCAGGACTCCAGGATCATGACCTGAGCCGAAGGCAGTCGCTTAACCAACTGAGCCACCCAGGTGCCCAGCCATTCTGCATTTCTATTATGTCATATCCTTTGTTTGGATTTCTTTTGGGCTTATTTGACTTTTTCTTATTTATAAGGATCCTTTTTGTATTTTCTTATGTATTGTTGACACCAACCTCTTCTGTTGTATATATTGTAAATCTTTTTCATTTGGGTTGTTCTGATCCTGGTTTTGCTGCTGACTGACTAGCTTTGTGATTTGAGGGGCATTGTTTGACTTCCACAGAACCATTTTTGACCATTGTAAAGTGAGAATACACCACCTCTTAGTTACTGTGTAATTGTGAAATGCCAATGACAGAGTGTATGAGCCCTGTGATTTTTAGGTTCCTCATTTGATTTCTGCGAGCCATTTTCTCAGCTGTAAAGTGTGAATACACTAGTTTTTAGGTTTATTGGGAAATGCCAGTGAAAGAGCATATAAAAATGCTTTGGAGAATAAAGAATAACTTCAAGTGTAAGGCATTTGTCCTTTCTTAGGCTTTGTTATGACTCATCCCCAGGAGTTGGCTTTTGTGAAGCATGCTACATCTTCACAGATTAATCAAACTCTGAGAGGTGGGTGTCACAACATACCACTTGTTTCTTTTTATTCTACACTCTTTCAGGGCAGGAAAGAGGTGTGTAAACAAGGTATGTTCACATTGAACTCCTGTGTTCTTGGAAGGCATTAGGTGGGATGGAGGTGGAGAATAATGGTATCAGGAGACTCTGACTTCACCACTCATAGTGCTGGCTGCAAGGGCTAACACAGTAGAATCAGGACATTTATGGAACCAAATGTCTATGAGGTTAGAATTAGCCTGCCCTTTGTTACTGTCGTGGTCTGCCTCTCAATTAGAACACAGTTTTCAGAGGCAATTGTTCTATTCCACCACAATAGGGAAGTATGAGGGTATAATTTCCGATCCTGGTTACCTTTTGACTGATGACTACCCTTTGCAAACAGATAATTCACTAAAACTTGATAACCACCCTTTGCTCTGGGGACACTCAAACTCAGAGACCACCTTAGACCTAGATAACCCTGCACCCCTACCCTATGCTGCATGCTTTAGAGGGCCCTTCCTTTAGAGGGCCTCTGCCCATACCCTTCTTGACTACTCTTCCAGTGCCCAGGACCCAAGAATTACCTGACGAAATGTCATGAACCTGCTTTTGAGGCCTGCAGAGCCTCTTTCTGAGTCTGTCCTCCCAAAGATGGATCAAGCCATTAGACTCTACCCCTGATGTGTGCATTACTAGGTCCCAGGTGTGACCAAGGGTGACTGCTAAGTACACCCACAGCGTGGGTGTACTAGCGTGAACATCTGTATACAAGGCTTTTTGAGGTACAGAAAGTGTGTGGGGAAAGAAAGGTGGTGAATCTGGGGCCAGCGTCATCCACTTATACTTTTGCTCCAGCCCTGTAGCTGTTGGAGGCAGGTCTGCCCAGTGGAGCCTCTCCTTTCTGACCATCTGCTTATTTTATGGGTAGAAAAGAAAGCCATTGAGGAATATTTTCTTCACCATCCATTTAGAAACTGGGTATCGCTGACTCAATGTAGAACCCCAGTTAATCTCTGAGAATAATTCTCAAAACGGGGGTGGGGGGCTGGAAGGGAGAATATCAGTGCATCTTCCTCTGTCTCTCCCCTGGGTAGGCAGTGCTGGTGATGCTTGGTGAAAGGAGGGAGGATTCTGCTGACACACTGTATTTTTATGAAAGAAGGCTAAGGGTTCCCTTATCTCTCCACACAAGGCACATCTGCCTGCAAAAGTGCCGTCTGCTTCTGAGGGATGCCTTCGTCGTTCTGTGTCTTTTCCGAATGTTTTAAGGCACAGTTTTGGTGCATTCCTTTCTGTTCTCTAGAGCCAAGGGGGGAGGTCATAATATATCAGGGCTTTTGCTGAAGAACTTAAAATGGGCGCTGGCAGCTGGGATGTGGGGGAAGACAGCTTTCCAGGGACAAGTGACCTGCTTGTTCAGCCAATGAGAAGCAGGTTACAGAAATGATATCACCAGACAGGCTTTATTGTCTGATCATCTCATAAAAGCAGGATTGTGTCTGGCAACTTAACCCTTTTTTAGGTACTTCAGGTCTCACCCACTCTCTGGTATGTGACCTCCAGATTCTTTTCCCAGCTGTCTGCTGAGAGATCACAGAGATTAAAGATTTACATTGGTGATGAAATTTGGAGAGTTGTAAACCATCATTTTAAAACTACAAATTATTAAAATTTAGAACACCAACTAGAATGGGAACGTCAACTACACTGTGTTTGGAGAGCATATCTAAAGCTCCCCATCTAATCATGTTACACCAGGCTTTTGCTGGATAGACTTGGGAGAGAAAGGGAGTTAGAGGTAGGACAAGACTGAGGCTCTAGCCTATTTTAATCTACATAAAGGGGTCTTAGTAAGAATTTCCTTAGAGGAATTGGAATTGGTTCTGCAAATTTGGAAAATATTACTGATTCTGAGACCAATTTTGAGTAACAGATATTTGTAGTGTTTGTTTATATTTTACCTCTTGATTATCCCTTCCCCCATAAAAAATGTCAGTCATTTTACTTCTTCATGCTTCCTTTCATCACTGGTGAGATGCAGGTGATGATCCTACCTGATGCTACACAGGAGTTGAGATAAGAAAATAAACTAATTTATGTGATTTTGGAGCATGCTACACACATGTATTATAGTTCGGTCATTCATGTCTTAAGATTGTATTGTTCGTTCATTCATTTGTTCAGCAGACTTTTTCAAATCATTCTTGATGCTGGGCACAGATACAGAGATAGAAGCCATAGTTCTTACCCTTAAGGAATTTAAAACACGGGGCGCCTGGGTGGCTCAGTCGTTAAGCGTCTGCCTTCAGCTCAGGTCATGATCCCAGGGTCCTGGGATCGAGCCCCGCATCGGGCTCCCTGGCCCGCGGGAAGCCTGCTTCTCCCTCTCCCACTCCCCCTGCTTGTGTTCCCTCTCTCACTGTGTCTCTCTCTGTCAAATAGGTAGATAAAATTAAAAAAAAAAAAGTTTAAAATATTGTGAGGCAGACAGACAATAATAAAAATGTCTCATGAATCTATTGCATTTACCATGTTCCAGGCCCTTTTCTGAGCACCTTGACATATATTAGTTCATTTAATCTTACTATAACGCTGTGAAATAAGTAGTTATTAGCTTCATATTACAGATAAAGAAATAGAAGCATAGAGAGGCTAAGTGACTTGCCTAAGTTCACACAGCTAGTGGTAGAGTTGGGCCTTGAATCCAGGCTGTGTGGCTCTAGAGTCTATTCTCTAAATCTCTGTTGACCAGTACAGTAGTTACTAGCTATATATAGCTTTGGAGGACTTGAAATGTGGTTTGTCTAAATGGAATTGGGCTGATTTCAAAGACAGTATGAAAAAATGTATCTAATATCTCATGTTGAAATCACATGTTACAGTGATAATATTTTGGATATACTGAGTTAAGTAAAATCTATTAGAAATTAATTTCACTTTATTTTTGTGGCTACTGGAAAACTTAAAATTACATATGTGGCTTGCATTTGTGGCTTACATTTCTCTTGGACTGTGCTACTCTAACTTGTTATAATGCAGGGGCTCATTCGATTAAGCGTCTGCCTCTTTCTCTGTCAAATAAATAATATCTTAAAAAAATCGTTACAATGCGGTAGTAATAATAGGAGACATTTGTTGAGCACTTACTGTGTGCCACATACTGGGCAATACCTTGACACTGTTCTAGTTAAGCCTCAAAATAACCCTGTTTATTATCCACATTTTATAGAAGGGGCAGGAGGTTTTGAGAAAGTCAGTAATTTACCTGAGGTTAGTCCACTAGTTAATGACAGACCCCAAATTTGAAACCTTGTATGTCTGACTCAAAAACCTATACTCAGTCAGTACACTGTAATATCATTTCCGATTAAATCTTAGGGCATTTTCTTTGTTTTTATTTCTATAAGAATATTTAATACTGCATACTTCTGTATCTGGTATGTAGAAGTTCAAGATAAAAATCACTAGGTCATAAAGTGGACATCCCAGATCAAAATCTCTTTTCAGAGCCTCAGCCCTCAGTGAATACTGGCACAGTTGAACCTTGAGATGAAGCAGTGCGTCAGCCTGTACAAATTGCATTTAATTTTCATTCCAATAGTTCTCTCAGGTCACTGGGCAATTTATGTCTTGACCCTCGTTGTCCAATAGAGAGAGGAAGAGGGGCAGTGCAGCTTTCCTTAGTCATTTAGTTCTCTTGGCTAATAAGAAAAAATTGCTTTCCATTTCATTGTTCCATGCAATGCTGTTTGTGTTTGAGAGAGCAATGAAACGCTGTCTAATGATCCCTCACTTTTCTTTCTTTTAGAGCAAAGACTCAGGCGGACTGAAGGCGGCTATGATAGAGTTGGTGGAAAGGTTGAAGTTCAAGAGCTCAGATCCTAAAGTAAGTATTGTTTTGGAATTGATTGGGTGTTGTATTTCGTTCTCCTTGAGCTGAGTTCGAGGGATGTTAATGATCATCTATCTGAACATCGCATCAAGATCTAATTAAGCCTGCCTATCAGAAGCAGTGTTTTAATATGCCTAGAGATAAGTCATCTGTTTTTTCCCTTCTCTCTTTTATGACTTGCAACATATAATCATTAATTGTTTTCCCTGAACTGCAGACAAGTGCATTTTTCCTTTATCAGGCCTTTGAGACTGCCGTCCTCTGTGTCCATTAAACTCAGTCGAAGGCATCCAAGGTACTGATCATCTTAATGCTGGGGACTGGAACAGGCTCCAGACCCACCCAGTTGGTGTTCAGCGCTAGTGTCTTGTCTCTCTCCCACTTATAGCAACCAGCGGCCACTGTGAATGCTTTTGTCCTCATGACCTGGAGTGTGGTCTGGGAAATGGTTTCAGCTTCCCAGCTTTCTTTGCAATATGTTGGGAGCTATAAGATTGATATTCTGGGAGACTCCATAGTGGGATGGGGGTGGACTGGGATCTGAGCATGCCGGAGGGAATCTGACTAACACAGCCTCCCTTCTCCTGCCCAGAGACTTCCTGTGGCACTACTGGATATTGGTCCCAGCTGGCTCTGCCTGAGAGTCAAAGCCTTTTACGATCAAATAGGGAAAGGAGCACAATTTTGTTTGACTTTTTGTATCCCCACCCCCTTTCTTTTAATTTAAAGTTCTTTATATGGGAAAAAGACTAGCATTTCTTGAGTACCCACTGAGAGAGCCAGAACACTGTGCTAGGAGCCTTACATATCTTTTTAAAAAATTGTGGTAAAATATACATAATGAAATTTACCACTTTAACCCTAGCTAACCACTATTTACCATTTTTAAGTGTATAGTTCAGTGGCATTCAGTATTCCCATTGTTGTCCAACCATCATCACAATCACCATCCATCTCCAGAACTTCTTCAGTCATTCCAAACTGAAACTCTCTGCCCATTGGACACTAACTTCTTTTTCTCCCTCTGCTCTTGCATACTTGTGATTTTTGTAACAACCTGGTAGAGTAGCTTATTATTCCCATTTCATTGATAAGGACACTGAGGCTTAAAGAGGTGGGGCCATTTGCCCTGAATCTAGTATAATTTAGAGCTGGGCTTCAAATTGACTCCAGTACCTGTGCTCATTCTTTTATGTCACATTGCAGACCAAGCACTGGGGTTCATCTCCTTTCTACCATCTAATCCCGTTGTGCCCTGATTTTCTAATCTGAAACACTGTCGAGGCAGAGCCACAGACAGTGACAGGCTTTTCAGAAGGTGGCTGCAGTCTCCAATCTACAAAATAACTTTCTCTTCATACAGCATTGAAAGTATCGGACATTGGTAATATCTCTTGCCCTCTGGTGTAGTTAGGACTCCAGAGATAGAGAGTATCTTGATAGAAAAAAATTGGTGTAACCTTTATCAATTTTCTTAGCTCAAAGTAGAAAGACCCCTGGTATAAGTAGTTTTCTTTTAGTGAAGATGAACTAATTAATTATTAAGGATTACTGAAAGCTTTTTTTTTTTTTACCGAGTTTTTCTGGTTTCTGGGGCAACAGCTATCCTGAAGGAGACAACTGTATTTTCTGTTTCTGCCACACCCACATGCTTGTAGGCAGTGAAGAGCAAGAGGATGTATACAGATTACACTGAGTGGCTTCTGTGCATGATGATAATACAGGTAAAGTGCTTTGGGGTCCTTTATGAATGCATAGAGTGCCTCTAATAGGAAACTTGCCAGAGGTGAAAAAAATTGAGTGGTCCCATGAGAGCAGCTTGTAGAAGTCTCAGGATTTTCCCATGGTGCATCATGAGCTAAAGGATATTTCTTAGGACCAGACTTGATCTTGGATATGTGCATACACACTCACCTCTTTTATCTTCTCTTTATCTTGTCCTGAATTACTTCCACCGATCTCCTTTATTTTCAGACCCCGTTCTGGTCTGCCATATGCATATACTGTATATACCTGGAGCCAGCTTGAAGAAGGTCCAATGTCATTGCAGAATGACTGCCAGATCACAAACGGGGGCGGGGGGGTGTGGGTGGAAAATGGGACACTATATACATAGTTGCTATGTAGCACTATATAGCATATTTGCTAAACTATTTGCAACAAATACTTGTCTTCCAAGAGAAGTTTTTAGTCTGTTCTGCATTCCCTCAGAACTCTTAACATCCCTTTTTTAAGTTGGCCTATTTAAGAAGGGCAGAATCTCTCAGGCTTTATGACCTGTCATTTCCTGGCACAGGAACTTTTCATAGAAGCACTGATTTGAGTCATGGAGCACTGAGCACTATCACTGCCTCACTTCCTCTAGAATTCCATAAAGCATCACAGAGCTTCATTAGTCCAGACACTGAAATCTACGGGGGACTGAGTTAATTTTTACCTCTGAGTTTTGTGAGAGAGGAGTAGAAGATGACTAGATTAACGATTTTTTTTAAATTATAAAATAATATATGCTTATAGATTAAAAAAATACAGATATTCTTAAAGGAAAAGTCAAATGAATTTCCCCCCAAGCTAACCACTATTAACAATTTGGTGTGTAACCTTCTAGACATTTTTCCCTGTGGAAATATACCTCTAAGATTTTTTACAAGAATTATACTGCACCTATGGTTTTAATACACAGAATATTTTGGACATTCTTCTGTGTCAGTAATGTAGACTTAATTTTTCTTCTTAATGAGAAGCCTCATTTTGTCCGAAATATTTGTCAGATGCCCTTTTTTCTTCCAGACCAGTTGTTCTTAACCTTTAATATTCATAAAAATCACCTGGAGAACTTACAAACTACAGAGTGCTGGGCCCACCCCCACAGTTGCTGATTCAGTGGGTCTGGGGTGACTAGAGGCTATGCTAACCCTGGTGATTTTCCTTCTGTCTTGTTTTGATTTTTTTTCCATTCCTTTCAGCAAATGGCCAGAAGAACGGTTGTAAATAAGTCTAAGTGATTTCAACTTCAAAAAAAGAGAGATCCATAAAAATCCAGGCTTAGAAAACCAACAAATTGAGCGGAGGTAGCAGAGGAACAGGGGAGAGGAAAGGGAGGTGGCCTGCGGCTGCTTGAGAGGGCAGGATTCCTGTAAAGTGCCATATCCAGCAGAGAAGCAGCAAGGCCCAAAGAGTGGGAGTAGTTCTGGTCAGGATTTACAAGGATCAAGACTCATGCCATGGGACAAGAATGGGTTGAGTTCTAAAACCAGAGGAACAACAGGAGACACCAAATCCCAGCCACTAGGGGTGAGCCTGAGGACAGGAATCAGAGCCAGTGGTGGTTGGGAAATAAGGCACAGAACCAGATTAAGTTGTGTGCATGCACTACTGGGTTTTACCCCAAAGATACAAATGTAGTGATCCGAAGGGGTACGTGCACCCCAATGTTTATAGCAGCCATGTCCACAATAGCCAAACTATGGAAAGAGCCAAGATGTCCATCAACAGATGAATGGATAAAGAAGATGTGGTGTATATATATACAATGGAATATTATGTAGCTCAAAACCCGAAATCTTGCCATTTGCAATGACGTGGATGGAACTAGAGGGTATTATGCTAAGTGAAATAAGTCAATCAGAGAAAGACATGTATCATATGACCTCACTGATATGAGGAATTCTTAATCTCAGGAAACAAACGGAGGGTGGCGGGAGGGGGGGGGGGGGGGAGGGAGGGGGTGGCTGGGTGATAGACATTGGGGAGGGTAAGTGCTATGGTGAGTGCTGTGAATTGTGTAAGACTGTACCCCTGAAACAAATAATACATTATAAGTTAGAAAAAAAGAGAAGATAGTAGGAAGGGAAAAATGAAGGGGGGGAGGTCAGAGGGGGAGATGCACCATGAGAGACTATGGACTCTGAGAAACAAACTGAGGGTTCTAGAGGGGAGGGGGTGGGGGGAATGGGTTAGCCTGGTGATGGGTACTAAAGAGGGCACGTATTGAATGGAGCACTGGGTGTTACATGCAAACAATGAATCATGGAACACTACATCAAAAACTAATGATGTAATGTGTGGTGATTAACATAACATAATTAAAAATAAAAAGTGTGCATGCAGGTTGCTATGGTGAGCCCTGTTTTAAAGGATGCATATCTCCAGGGATCTAGAACTTTGTGTATAATGGAGAGACTATTTTTAATAACAAACAATCTTTAGTTTGTTTAATTGAAAGTAGTCTCTTAAATAGTAAGGCATCCCAGTGTGTTTGATATGATCCAGTTTGCCAACATATTTTTTCAGTCATACTTTTCAAAAACATTTATTGCACAAAGTAGGATTTTTGTCTGTAGATTTCTTATATTTATGCTAGACTTTAGGGAAATTAAAAGATGTAGTTAATCGGGTATGTGTGTGTGCATGTCCATGTCCATACCTGGATTTTTAAAAAATTGAAGGTATTCTGAGTTCTTTAAGATTCTCCTGTGAAGTGACTATGCAGTTATCTTTCATAGTGTACCCAGTGGAAACTGAAGCTCAGAAAACACATTGAGTCCCTTCCCATCCTTCCCACTGCCCAGCCTCTCAGAAAGCACTGAACCAAAAACATAACATGCTAAACTCAATCCAACTAACATCTTAGTATGCAGTTAATAACAGCCACTCTCTCTGTTAGTATTGATTGCTTTTCTTTCCCTCTAACATGTGCTGTTCCTTGTTTTCTGTGGCTGGTGTGCTTGAAACAAACAGAAACACAGCTGTGTATCATGAAATCATACTAATCTTACAAGAAGTAATTCTCAAGAAAAGTGCCTGAAACTCAAGCCAAGTGGCTCACATTATTCTCTCAGATTGAAGTGGGATTAAACATGGGACCTAGCCATACTAACACTGCCTAAAACATATCAGTTTTTTTTTCTCTATATTCAATCTCTGAAGATGTTCTTACTAAAGTTTAAAGCCAGAGAATTGTCTAGCAACATGAAATTAAATAGATCTGAGAA